ATCTGGTGCTGCACTCGTGAATCCAGAATTTGAGTATTCACTATCTCTCACACTCCTGAAAGCTGAGCCCACTCTGGTTCCTTTGGGGCTACAACTGCTGAGAGACTCTCAGAATCAGCCTAAAGTCTAGACAATAGAGCTTTCAAATCATCAAAAAGATTTTTTTAAAAACTCTTCAATCTTCAGAGGCAGAATTTCTTGAGAAATTGTTGACACAAGAAAGCAGTGGTTCTCAACCTTCCTAATGACATGACCTTTTAATACAGTTCCTCATGTTGTGGTGATCCCCAACCATGAAATTATTTTTGTTGCTACTGCATAACTGTAATTTTGCTACTGTTATGAATTGGGTGACCCCTGTGAAAAGGTCCTTCAACCCCCAAGGGGGTCACAACCCACAGCTTCAGAACCGCTGATAGAGGATTGACCAAGCAGGCCACAGTAAAAGGTCTGTAGGAATTTGGAGGGAGAAAGATTGAGAGTAAAGAATATCACGTCCTACTTTTGAAGATGAAAGGTCTGAGCTCCTCTCCTCTTACACGGCTCAAAGTAACAAGTAAGTTCTATCAAGTACAAACTCTGCTCTTCCCACATCAGACTCTGTATAACCTACCTGACCGTTAAGTAAAAGAACTATGTGTGGTATCATGATTATGCATAAGGTTGCTAACCGTAAGAAACCACCAGTGTTTCCTACTCCCATGAAAAGTTACAGTATCAAAAACACATAGAGCAGGTCTACCCTGCCCTAGAAGGTCGCCATGAGTCAGCATTGACTTGGTGGCAGTGAATTTGGGGTTTTTTACCTCTTCATAGTACAATGTGTTATTGATCTTGAAGTAGGAGAGGCAAAATGTACCTAGGAAGAAATGGTAGCTATTCTAAATTTATCTTGCCAGGGAATCTGGCAGAAAAGCCACTGGTGACGCACCTGCCCCTTATCTCGATTATCATCAAGTCATCCCTAAATATTGCTAGATAGAGGATTGACAGGCTGCCATGATTCCTCTCCCATCTGAATTCACGTGCTCTGAGCAGAGTTCAAAGAACTTGTAAATGTTTTTAGTGATGCTACACGTGGTGGCAGAAGTTCTGGTGGCACAGTGGTAAAGCACTCTGCTGCAAACCAAAAAATCCAAGGTTCAAACCCATAAACCACTCCATGAAAGATGAGGCTATCTGCTTCCAGAAAGATCTGCAGCCTTGGGAACCTTGTGGGGAAATTCTCCTATGTCTTATACGGTCTCTATGAGTTGGAATTAATTGGATGTCAATCAGTTTTGGTTTTGATTTTGGTTCTGGTGTGAGCGGCACATTCAATTTGTTTAGCTTTATCTCAAGAATTGGTTCACTGTTTTTAAAATTTGAGCACTTTGTGTTATAGCATAGGGCTATAAGCAAGGATTAATGGAGTTAAAGAAGGTAGTCATTGTCCACAAGTAGCTGACATTTTACTGGGGCAACCATGTAAGTTAACAAATAATTACAACATGGTTTCAAAGCGCCGTGACAGAGTAGTGAAAAAATTCAATGTAGAAAAAGTAGAGCTAGAGAATTTCACTTTAGTGGAGTCTCAAAGAGTAAGCAGAAATACATCAGGAAGGAAAACCGTATATCAGAGGTGAGAGAGCATGAATGCATGACAACTACAAAGTTGGAATTGCTGAAATGTACATTAGGTATTGGCACAGGTATGAGTTCTACAAATGATCTGGTCATGTGTAAAAACAAGACAGGGAACGGATTATGGAAAACTTTACGTACCACATTAGTAACATTAGTATGAAAGAAGTTCAGATTTTAACCTTACTGCTAAAAATTATTTAAGGAAAAAATAAAACATGATTGTTTATATTTTTTGATTGCTTATATTTTAAAAGGATTGTTCAAATGATGAGATATAGTTTGGAGGCTAGAACAGAGAGAGCAGTAATATTTTATTGACTTAATTTAGATTGGAAATAATGAGCATTTGAACTAAGTCAAAGGGCAGCGAAATGGAGAACTGGGACCAACTGAGAAGATCAATTTAATGCCTTAGTGATCAATGGGAATGGCAGGTGGACAAGCAGAGAACTGTCTAGAATAATTCCAAAACTTTAAGCCCGGGATTGACTTAGAGAATTTTAGAAAAGGAGACAGTTTGCTGGATAAATTCAGAGCACAGGGATAGAGATTTTCAAAACAGTAATTGACAAAGCTGAAGGTCTTAAGATCAAGAGCCATACATAGAACATCTATAACTTGTGCAGTGAGCTCAGCACTCTGCTACTAACCGCAAGGTTCCCGGTTCCAATCTACCACTTGCTCCATGGGAGAGAGAAAGATGAGGTCCTCTGTTCCCATAAAGAAAACTCTATGGAAACTCTGTGGTGCAGTTCGACTCTGTCCTTTTGAGTCAGGAGGAATCAAAATGGACTCAGCAGCAGTGGCTTAATGAGTTGTAACTCTAAAGGATCTCTTCTCAGGGACATTGGACCAGAAAATAGGCAGTAATGGAAGGTATGTGTTTGAAGAAAGGTCCAGGAGAAGCACATCAAGCAAAAGATAGCAAGTAAAAACTATTTTGAGAAATGCAGAATTTAAGGAATATTGTAAAGGCCTATTTGGAGAGGGGAAAAATTATTCCATTATTCAGCATTTAACAACGATTGATGAGTCACAACCATGTGTCAGGTGCTGTTCCAAGCCAACAGATAGAAAAAGAACCAGGAGAAAATGATGTTGTTACAAATACCATCAGATGAACTGTTTGGTACTGATCAGTTATGGCTAAATAAACTAAGGATTAAAAATTACCATAGG